GTTGTGGTGGGCACCTATAGTCCCTGCTACCTGGGAAGCTAAGGCAAGAGCATTGCTTTAGCCCAAGAGTTTGAGGTTGCTGTGAGCTGTGACACCACAGCTCTCTACCAAGGGCGACATAGTGAGACTGTCTCAAAATAAATAAATAAATCACCATCTGGTGGGAGATGACGGGGTGGTGTAGGACAATGCCTAGGACAGCTGACCAACAGCAAGGGGGTGCCTGACAGGTCTAGAGGAAGCCGGCTTTGGCCCTGCAGAAGGGAGTGGGCACACAGTGATAAAAACAGAGGTCTGACGTAGCCAGGGAGATCCAAATCAGATAACTAAGGCCTTGTATTGGACAAAAGGCCTAGCAGTGAGACACTGGGACCAACTCCAAATGTTCTGCCCCTTTTCCCAGGGCACCCCCAAAATGCTCCAGGAATGAAGGTGCCTCTTGGCCTGAGCTGGCCCCTGAACATCCAATCCCCAACACTAGTTTTTCACTTGAAATACTAATTTTCCAGGTCACACACAATTGACTCAAACTGCACAAAACTAAGGGAAGTAACCATCACTGGCCACCCCTGCCCCAAGCTAACCCAGGGTACACATGGTGACCAGGCTGGACCCTGTGAGGATGACTCAAGCCTTGGAGTGTCCACAGGAGGGACTTTATAGACAAACTTTCTGAAAAAGGTCAGGACAGTATTTCTAGGAGTGTCTGCCTGTCCTAGCGTAAGGATGATCCTGTGTCAATGAAACTTCATGTGCAGGCCAGGTGTAGTGGCTCATGCCTGTAATTCTAGCATTCTAAGAGGCCAAGGCCTGCAGATTGCTTGAGCTCCAGAGTTTGAGACCAGCCTGAGCAAGACTGAGACTCTATCTCTATTAAAAATAAAAAAACTGAGGCAGGAGGATCGCTTGAGCCCATGAGTTCAAGGTTGCTATGAGCTATGATGATCCCATGGCACTCAACCCAGAGCTTGAGAATGAGACTCTGTCTTAAGAAAAAGGGCCAGGCTCAGTGGCTCACTCCTGTAATCCTAGCACTCTAGGAGGCCCAGGAGGGCAGACTGCTTAAGCTCATGAGTTTGAGACCAGCCTGAGCAAAAAAAGATCCTAAAGATCCTGTCTGTTCTAAAAATTGAAAAACTGAGGCAAGAGGATCACTTGAGCTCAAGAGTTCAAGGTTGCTGTGAGCTATGACACTATGATACTCTGATCCTAGAGAGTGAAACAGTCTCAAAAACAAAAACAAACAAACAAAAAAGAACCTGGCTCGGTGCCTGTGGCTCAAGCGGCTAGGGCGCCAGCCACATACACCTGAGGTGGCGGGTTTGAATCCCCAGCCCAGGCCTGCCAAACAACAATGATGGCTGCAACCAAAAAATGGCCGGGCATTGTGG